CTGAACCAACGTCCCTGCTGGGAGAACACCCAAAACTGTGTGAGGCAGGACAGCAGCAAATATGGCTTCAGACACCTTTTTCACACACACACACACACACTATATATATATATATATATATATATATATTTTGATATATATATTTATAAATATACACATATACACATATACACGTATATGTATATGTATATATATGTGGTGTGTATAAATGCAGATGTTTATGTGTGTAGGATGAGTATGTTCATGCATGTGGAGAGCCTAGGTTGATATAGGGAAGTCTTCCTCTATTGCTCATGCTTGCATGTGTGCATGTGTATACATGTGTGTTTGCATATGTGTGTGCAGGGATGAGTATGCTTATGCATGTGGAGACTTTTGGTTGGCATAGGGAGTCTTTTTCTATTGCTCATGTTTGCATGTGCGTATGTGTGTATGTGTGTGCATGCATGTGCATGTGTGTATGTTTGCATGTATGTGCATGGATGGGTATGCTCATGCATGTGGAGACTCTTAGTTGATGTAGGGAATCTTATGTGTATGTGTGCATGTATGTACATGTATGCTTGCATGCGTGTGCATGGATGAGTATGCTCATGCATGTAGAGACCCTTAGTTGGTGTAGGGAATCTTATGTGTATGTGTGCATGTATGTACATGTATGCTTGCATGCGTGTGCATGGATGAGTATGCTCATGCATGTAGAGACCCTTAGTTGGTGTAGGGAATCATTCTCTATTGCTTTTCATCTTATTCATTGAGGCAAGGTCTCTCAGTGAGACCCAGAGCTCAACCATACAGTGAATCTAGCCAGTCAGCTTGTTTTGGGGGTCTCCTATCTCTGCTTCCCACACCCTAGAATTACAGATGGCTTGCTGTGCCCACTGGGCATTCATGTGGATTCTGGAGAATCTAAGCTCTGCTACTCATGCTGTTCTTAGTGACAGGGACATAGGGTGAATGAACAGCCTGAGAGCCTCCAAGACTCCCTTTAACCAGATGCACTTGGTCTCTGAGCCCTGCAGGTGACAGGTGCAAGTGACATTGTTTCTCTTCCTCTGGACACTGGAAGCTTACAGCTAGGAGGGGCAAGATGCTGTGGTTGATGGAGGGATCTGGTTGTGTATGGAAGTGAAGACTGCAGACTCCTCTGTGCAGGGCATGCTGACTTTGCCCAGCATTTCAGGAATGCAGGCAAGAACTGTCCAAGAGGGAGCTGCAGGTTATCAGTGGAGAGTGTGATGCTTTCCTGTCTCTGTCTCTGCCAGAGGACCATTCTGTCATCACCTCTTTTCCCTGGTCACCTCAGAGCTTGACTTGAGGGCAGCAGGGATTTGGTTGTCCCAGCTTCTGCCCATTTATAGAAGTTCTCAACAGAGCAGCAGGCTGAGGTGATGGAGCACTAACTGCTCTCTTAACACACCTCTGCTCAAGGCCATCCATGGCTCTGTCTTCCTTGAGGCAGCACCAGATTTCTTCTAATGGTGTATGTGGCTATGTGGCCCTGCTGCCCCCTCTACCCTCGTCCTACATCTCCTTGGTTTGGTCATTATGAATGGCTCTAAAACGCAAGATGAGAGTCACTCGGGGCTTCTGCTTGGTACAGTCATCAGTGTAAGGAGGCGTCACTGGGGAACCAGTGAGCTACCAGTACATAAAATTGGGTGTGGAGTGTCAATTGGAAACAATGCTGGCCAGGAGGTTGCAGAGCCTATACCTAATGGCCATTGCAGAGTTAGAATCCCAGGTACCTGAGAAAGTTGAGAGAGTGACCAAGGCTTTGATGTCGCAGCCGAGTATCCAGATTCCCTTTTCTAAACCTGAATGAGAACTTCAGGTGGCCATGGACTCCAGAGTGAGTGACAACACAGAGCCAGGCTGAGCTGGGACCTCTCCTTTTCTCCTTACTGGTTTCCTTTGTTTTCTTCTCCACTGTGACTGCATTGCCAGATGAACCTCTTAGGGACAATCCAGGATCAGGGGACAGTTTGGAATATAGCAGAGGACCAAGAGAGGCCAGGTTGGGGATTTTAAACACAGCATGAGCCTCCCGGTGCAGTACACATCAGGGCTACTAATAATAGCCAGTCCTTTGACATTAACTAAATTGCAGACATGAAGCTTGATGCTTTGTTTAGATTATGGTGGCTAATCCCTAGGCCCATAATGTAGAGAGTATTATTAACGTCCTTTTTTTTTTTTTTAAAAAAAAAAATAGACCAGGAAGCTGGAGCTTAGAGAGGCTAAACAATTTGAAGGTCAGACAGACAACTGGCTAAGCTTAGAGTTCACCTCAGGTTTTTCTCCTGGCCCCTGCACAGTGAACCTCATTTTAACTGCCTTAATTAGTGTGTCATTTTATGAGCATGTAACTTAAGATCTTTACTGACTTTCACCAAAGCTTTTATTTTATAGAACAACATATAAGTTATTGAGAGAGAGAGAGAGAGAAAAAAAAAAGCAACATGACCTCCAGGTGCTTGTTAAAGAGTGGGAGAATCTCGTATCTTGGTAGAGTCTGGCCGTCCCTGATCAGCCTGAACCAAAAGAACCATGAGGCATGTCTGACCAATGCCAGTATTGAAAAGAATGTAGCACTAATATTGCCTGGAAAGCAACACACAATTAGCTCTGGCAGGCAGTCATAAAGAAGGTAGTGTGGATAGAGTCCAGTTATTTGGGACTTGGTCCTGGAATCTACCTTTTGATACCCTTAGGGCAGTAGGACAGGTCCTGGGCAAATTCCTGTGATGGCTAGTCTCCTTTGTCAACTGGATTTAGGCTCACCAGGGGAGGAGATTGTGGGTGTGTCTATGAGGGTTTTCCCAGAGAAGTTTAACTGAGGAGACAAGACTTCCCTGGATGTGGGAGGTCACTACCCCCAGGACAGGGATTTTGCATGAATAAAAAGGGGAAAGAGAACATTCATCTCTCTCTGCTTCCTGACTGTGGATGCAGTGTGATCCCAAGCTCCTGCCACCCTTCCTCCCCATCACCACAGGCTGTGACGGCTCCATGAGTTCAAATAGACCCATTTCTTGCTTTTGTCTAGCATCTTGTCACAGCACTGAGACAAGTAATTAATTCTACTCTCTGTGCAGTGTCAGGACATTGAATTCAGGTCATTTGGTGCATTTATGGGAAAGTCACTTATTGATGAAGACTTCTCCAGACTCTTGCTCATTCACTGCCTTCCCGTCACCTGGGCACCTGTGCTAGCCAAGCACCAGTGTGGGAGAAGGGCTGTACCTGCTACATTGTGACTATTAGTGTGAGAGAAGGGCTGTATATGGTACACTGTGACTACCAGTGCAGGAGAAGTGTTGTATTTGTTACATTGTGACTAGTGTTAACTTGATCTGTGAAGAAAGGCTTGATTCACAGGGCTGAGTCTCTAGAAACTATTAATGTAGAATTTCATGGGAATAATCTGTAGGGCCCTTGGGATATGCAGGGGCCATCTTGGGAACTACAGTGACCTAGGGAAGGTCTGTAGAATGTTCTTATATCACAGCAAGTGATGCATGCACAGGACACTGGGGCAGGCCACAGTAAAGATGGCCAGTGCTTACTATCTGAGATCTTATCTTTCTGCAACAATCTGGTAGAGATGTTCAAGGTTACGGAGCAGCACCTGGCAGGGACACCAGGATGTGACCCTCGAGGGATATACACCATTCATTCATTTATCCAACCATTCCTATGTTTAGAGACAGATTTCACTGCATAGTTTTCGCTGGCCTGGAACTTTCTATGTTAGATTAAGTGCGTCTCACACTCATAGAGATCCACTTACCCTTGCCCCGTTATGTCCAGCCCCATTATTTTATTATTAATTTTGCATATATAACTTGTGGGAGTTGGTTCTCTTCTTCTTCTATCACATGGGCTCTGGGGTTTGAACTCTGGTTTTCAGGCCTGGTGGCAAGCTCCTCTATCTGCTGTGCCATCTTGGTGACCCAAGGATGGAAGTTTGGATCAGTCTTTACTTTTCTTAAAATCTAGCTTTATTTATTTCATTATTATTTTTTGAAAGAGGCTCTTGCTATGTACCCTAGGCTACACTTGAGCTCAGGATTCTCCTGCCTCAGCCTCCTAAGTGTGGTAAACCATCACTCCTGGTTCAAAGATGACTTTATAGGAAACTTAAACTTTTTTAGGATTTGATTATAAAAGTAAATTCTCACTAGAACGGATTCCAGTATCTACAGCTTGTTTTTTTTAAGTGGTTTTATAGTGATCCATACTTATAAATTGTTCAAAGTGACCTGAGGGCATTAGAACAATCATAAGACCTACTGTGTGACAGAGTGGGTACAGTCATCTCTGGCACAGGGACTATTGCTCTGTGCCTTCAAGGCCTGTGCTTAGCTACAATTTGATAAGCAGTTTTTATTTCTTTAAAAATTTGTGCTATTAAAAAAGAGTTAACTTTTGAACATAGATTTCTCCAAAGTGTATTTATTCTACAGGGCTAGGGATGTTACTCAGTCCCTAGGGTGCTTGAAGTCCTGGGATGATCCCCAGCACTGAATAAACTGAATATGGTGGCCCATGCCTATAATTCTAAAACTTGGGGGATGGAGGCAGGAGGATTGGAAGTTCAATGTTGTTCTTAGCTTCTCAGAGAGTTCCAGGTTATCCTGGACAACAAGAGACCCTGAATGAAAAACCAGCCAACCAACCAACCAACCAACCAACCGGCTCTTTTAGAATCCAAATTTGATAATTTTGTCCCAAATGATCATCATGATGAAAAAAAGCAACATCAGTCTGGGTGTGGGGCACAGTCATGACCACAGAGGCTGGTAAACTCCAGCCCAGTCCGCTGGGAGAAGGAGGTGATGTAAAGGTCTCTGGAGCTCTGGAGGAGAAACCAACAGTCCTGGGAGTGGCTTCAGCCTTGAGTGGCTCAGATGGAGCTGGGCTTTTGCATAGAGACATGGGATTATCTTGCTGAGTTTCATGGTCTTTCTCTTGCTTTTACCTCTTTGGGTTTCCAGCAGAGACATTGAGACAGAGATTGGAAGACCTGGAACAGGAGAAAGGCTGCCTGCCCTGGGCTCTACCTTCACAGCAACCTGCTCTTCGAAGCTTCTTGGGTTACCTGGCAGCACAGACACGGGTGGCCTTGCATGGAGCCACCCAAAGGTGAGTACCCATGGATGCCACCACAGTCCGCACTTGGCTTCCTCTTCCCCACTGCTGTGCAGTCAAGAGCTGGGAGATCCTGGGCTGATTCTTCCTGGGAGGAGTTCTTTGAATGTTGGAGACAGTGGGTTCATTTAGAGGGAGGTCTAGTTGAGTCCTGCTCTTTGAGAAAGAAGCTCATCAAAGTGATGGGGAAGACTAACCAAGTACAGGGCAGAGGAGGAGCCCAGCGGTCCTCTGCCCTGGCTATTATCTGGTATCATCTCGGGAACTCTGGAACCTGAGGCTGTTCAGACTCTGCCCCATATTAGCTGAGTCAGATGGTTTGACATGGGTCCTAATGCTGGGCACATCTGAAAAATTCCGAGCCCACTGCTCTGACCTACCTGTGTCCCCTGTTCCCTGGCTAAAGCCTGAGAAGGAACAGGTATTGTCTCATGTTGTGAGCACAGTCAGGATTTAGGTGGACATCTACATAGGTGGGTACGGATATAATCACATCAACTGCATCTTGCTTCCCACTGCCAATTTGCCTCAGATCACAGGATGGCATGACCCATTCCTGCTAGGTGCCCATGACATTGTCCATCAGGCTTATCTTTGTGTCTCCCTGGAACCTATCTTGACGAGAAGACCAGTTTTCTGTTTTAGGGGTAGCATATGACGGAACATGTGGTTTCACCGTGTCCTTCTGTAGAGACGCATACATGTCGAGTAAAGTCACACACTGTCCTCTCACAGGGAGGAATCCCATCTCTATGCTTTCTCTCATCCAATGGGAGGTGTCCTCTGACTCCCCTTCCTGCCTCCCGTGGAGGCCTTCCTAGCTGTCTCTTCCCCTTGGTCTGTTTCTTGTCCTAGACCCCAGCTGTTCTTCCAATGTATCAAGTTCCTGTATCACAAACACTTGCAGGATAGTTACTAAGTGTTTCCTAAGTAACTGACTTCATTTTTGTGTATGTGTGTGTGGGAGACAGAGCCACAAGCCCAAGCCGGCCTTAAATTCACAATTCCCTTGCCTCAGTTTACCAAGCTCGAGGATTATTGCTGTTGCACTAATATGGACATTAGCTTTGTCAGCCTTCTTGCTCTGTTTCCTCCATGGGAGGCATCCATGTCTGGTTTTTTAATTCCACTCAAACTGGCCCCTACTTCTGCCTCTCCTCATCCCCCACAGGTCAGCGATGGCTTTCTATCTGTTAAGCTCTTTCTTCCCTTACTGCCAGCGCTGTGTTTAGACTTCTAGTCTCCTCAGTTCTTTGATCTCCACTCACAGCTCTGTCCTCTTTCCTCCCTGGAGTCACTGGCCATCCTTGTTGCTTCTGAGATCTTGACTCTCTCTGCTTGTATCCTCACGTTGACATCCCTACCTCTGCAGGATCCGGCATTCTTTCCAGTATGTCTCAGATATACAAATCAGGCTCAGTTTCCACGAGTCCCAGTCCTCTGAGGAGTCCTCCCCAGCACTGACCTCTCTGTAGAGTGCTGACCGCAAGCTTCCTGTGGTCATTGATTAATTACTACATTTACACTTAATTACTACATTTAATTAATTAATAATACATTTAATTAATACATTGGTTAATTAATACATTGATTAAATTCATCTCTTTACCCATACAGAGGTACTGTGGTTTCATCCTTGCCTTAATAAGTAAACTTGTTATTGGTGATGACTGGTCTTGCCTGTCAACTTGACTGCATTAGAGATGGTATAACACACCCAGGGGCCTGTGTGGGCATTTCCAGAGATGATTGACACTTGGGACAGTGATCAGGAGAAGAAAGAAGGCTGAGGACAAAGCTCATGTGCCTTCTCCATCTTTCTGTGATATGTTGGGGAGCAGTTCTCCTGACTTTGGGCTCTTGCTTTTTTGGTCTTTTGATGTAGACTCAATACCTACATTTCTCCAGGGAGCTTCCAGGCTTCCAGCTCTGACCTGATACTGCTGAGATGTCCAGCGTTGTGGGCTGAGCTGTGACTGTGTTCTCTGCCCCGGCAGCATGCAGGGAGCATGGTTGGATTAGCCAGCCTCTAGTGTGTAAGCCAATCTAATTCTCTCTTATAGTACATGCACTCTTTTGGTTCTGTTCCTCTAGGAAACCCTGCCAGAGACATTCTTCTAAATTTTATTTTGCCTTTGTATGTGTGCATGTATATATACATTTTCATATGTGTGTGTATGTGCATGGTGTGTGCACACACGCATGTGCATGTGAGTGTACACATATCTACATGTGTGCATTATGTGGTTTATGCGTGCATGTGAGTATGCATGTATGTGTGTGTGAGTGTACGCGTGCACATGCGTGCGCGTGCCCACGCATACAGAGGCCCAAAGTGTCCTCCTCAATTGTTCTCTACTTTATTGAGGTGCAGTCTCTTGCTGAACCCAGATCTCATTGATTTTCGTTAGTCTAGCCAGCTGGATCTCCTAGGGATCACCCTAGCTTCATCTTCTGAGCACAGGGGTTACAGATGGTCCCTCAAGCCTGCCTCCCTTGTGTGTGGGTTCTGGGGTTTGAAGTCTGATCCCCATGCTAGTGCAGTAAGCACTTCATCCTCCAAGCTATCTTCTCAGACCCGCCATCTTTAAAAAGAAACCCTGCCAAATCTATTATCCCTGTCCTCGTACTTCCTCCTCTTTTCCTAGGTCCCCTGTCTCATGGTTTCTACCTTCAGTTACCTCAGGAAGTGCTCAGATCTCCATTCCTTGACTCTCTAACTCATGAGTTGCTAGCTCTGGTCAGCTCTATCATCTCTCTGTCATTCTCTGTCACCTTCCAGCCTCCAGCCCAAAGGCTTCCTTTGCTCAGCACTCAGCAGCCTCTTGCCTTGCTGGCTTTTTGCTGACTCCACTCTGGAACATCATCCGTTCCCACAAAGCAGTCAGAGGAGCCCCGCAGGAAGCAGTAGCTCCTGGGCTTTCAGGACGGGCCTCACTCTCTGTGAGACCCTCAAAGCCTCTGTGAGCCAGCCTTACCAGTGCCGACCTCTAACTGGTCATCACCAGCACCAGCTGCTCACACAGCAGAACTTTGCTCAATTCTCCAGTCTCTTGTGAGTCCCCTTGCAGTCACCAATGGTTGCTCATCCTCCAAGACAATGAAGCCACCCTTCCCCCTCCCCCGCCCTCTGCCTGTTGGTCACATCTCAGGGACTCTTCCTGGAGTATCCTGGGTGACCATCTTAGCCCTGAGCCTTCAATCTGTTGCCTTGAATATCCCTCATTCTGAAAGGTGACTGTCTCCAGAGGAGGACGGAACTGTGTACCCCTCCAAATGAGTGGGTGCAGGAGTTACATACATATACATGTTTGGACAGGTTCACAAACATATGTGAACACAGGGTGGCAGGGAGCTGGATGGAGGGAGAATCTCCCTTCAGCCAAACTTCCTTTTGATGCCACAGCCCAGGCCTGGAGGCTGGGATCAGGTTCTCTGCTCCCATCTCCTCCCCTCACTAGCCCACTACGACCACTGTGCTTCCTGCTTTCCTCACCAGAGAGTGAGGGACCTGGTTTTTCTCTCTTTAGTTACTTTTTATGCTTGGCTTTTCTTTTGTCAAGCTCACCTGTCCTGTTATCACGATAGCTAGAAATGACTTGACATCTTCGTCATTATCACATTTTTACAGAGCACGTGGGCATGGCCACATGGCTGCTAATTATTAAAGTCGGCCTTTGCCTGTGCCACCTTTTCCATGGCCTGCAAAGTTTGTCTGCTCTCACCAGGGTTGGCTGGACCCTGAAGACAAGAGTTCCTGCAGTCCTCACTATGACCACCAGGGGGCTCTGGACACAAACTTCTCGGGAGCTCAGTCCTGAGTCCCGGGAGAAAGGTTGTTCTAAATACTGGGGACTTTTCCTGCAGAAATAGAATAGTTTTGTCAACATGGCCAGCTTTCAACACAGATTAGTAACTCAAATAAGTTCCTCTTTATCTTTCTGGGATCAAGTGTTTCTTTGAGAATCTGATGAAAGCAATGCATGTTCCCATATTCAAACTGCCAGAGCGTCTCCTGAGACCCTCCGATTTTAAGCCTCCCTGTCAATCTGGCCATGGGAGGAGGAGGTCTCTCAACCTCTCAAGTTATGAAAGTTTAGAGTCGTGTTCTAGGGGGTGTAAGCAACCTCAGATCCTACTATCTACTTAATTTTTATTGTCCCTTTGTTTTAAAATTACGGTTCAAATTCTCAAGCAAACTTGCCCACCCACCCTGAGAACTGTTTACATTAGCACCGAGGTCACTAGGGTTTGAGGGTCACTGAGTAGCTCTGACAGTGGCCGTCAGTCCTCTCACTGTCTCTCAGGTGTTAATCTCTGTTGCTCAGTAAGGGGGGGGGGCGGTCCCTGGGTAAGGTGAATGCCCCTCCTCCTCTGCGCAAGGTGGTTTTTAGCTTTTGCAGCAGTGACTCTCCACCTGTGGGTTGTGACTTCTTTGGGTTGACTGACCCTTTCACAGGGGTCACTTAGCAGATACTTACAATTCATAAAGTAGCAGAATTACAGTGATGAATTAGCAAGGAAAATAATGTTTTGGTTGGGGATCGCCACCGCGTGAGGAGCTGCATTACAGGGTCGCAGCGTCAGGAAAGTTGAGAACTGCTGTTTGCCAGTCTGGTCAACCCACTTTCTCACTTTGTTATAATGTCTCAGGTGGATGGCACAGACACGGGGGTATTTCCATGTTTACCCCCACATGGTCCTGTCACCTGAGATGCCAACCATAGGTCAGATTCACAGCCTCATCTCCCTGCCGTGGATCCTTAAGCTGCTGTCCCATTCTCTTGTGTCTTTGGTTGTGTCTCTAAAGACAAACTACTCAGATCCTTGTCTCAGTCCCAGCTGTCAGGAGAACACAAACTGGACAGTTGTATACCCTGGAGAATCAGATCCCATTCTTCTATTTTGAGGTGCTGAGGCTTTCTGACCTCTGGTGGGGGTAGGAGGACGGACTACTTCCTCTTTGACCTAATCAATGGGAGAAAAATATGTCCACCCCTCACTCTGACAGGGGGAGGCAGGAGGGGCTGAGGGGCGGCAGCCCATGAGGAATGGGGCAGGAAGCTCTGCATGTGTAAAAGCTGGGATAGGCCCCTACCCCATGGTTACAGACTTGGGGAAGGACTTCTAGGCCTGTTCTTATCAACTCTCATTTCTGATTCGGGAACAATGGGGGTTAAATTCAACTTCTTTGGCACACCAGGGTTAGAAGGTCAACACCCAGTTGAAGGAAATTTTTCTCTTCTCAAAAGTGTTTGGTAACTATAGCAGTTGACTGGTGAACTTCTCATTTATACCTCGTTTTCCCCTCACTGCATGCCATGTGACTTCTCATCAACTCCTCAATAATATGGACATCACATTGGTCACTCTTGTCACCTAGCTGCACGTGTGCTTATGTGTGTGTGCATGTGCATGCATGTCTGCTCATGCGTGTGTGCCCAAGTGTACATACATGTGTGTGCATGTGCATACATGTCCGCTCATGCGTGTGTGTGTGTGTGTGTGCCCAAGTGTGCATGTGTGTGAGTGCATGTGCATATGCACACAGATTATTTTTTATCAGAGACCTTTCCCCAGAGGAACAGCATCTGACAAGAAGCACCTCTGCTTCCCTGAGATGGGGCCACAGAAGCAAGTGTGGGTGGTATTTGTCTCTTGAGCTTACACCCTTTGATCTCAAGCATACACTGAAGCAGACTGCAGTGTCACAGGGCACAGTGACCCTCAGATTGGAATGGGCACACAGGGTCCGGGAAGGAGATCGCTGGATGTTACTGGGGAGTAAAGATGTTGCCTGCGTATTTCCCTGCTGTACTTTTCTCCGAGACTCATTATCGGATTTTTACAGATGAGTTTCATCCCTTCAGCAATTGATGAGAAGAAAACCAGATAGAAAGACCCAAGTTTCCCACAACTGGTCAGGTCCTAGTGGAAACCTGAGTCTGAGAGTGGAATCCTAGATCTCAGGCCCCTGGGTCCCCACTAGCACCAAGTACTAACATCCCGTGCTACTGCATGTTTCAATCTTCCCCTGAGGGGTCTGCTCATTTTTTATTCTGATTAGTTTATAGTAGCAATGCCCGTTTGCTCTGCCATGAGGGACTATCACATACTAAGACTTATCGAACATGAAGGAAAGGCTATGTAGCAGAGGAAAACTCTGGGGACCAGACATGGAAGATGGAAACGTGTCTCTGCTTCATAACTGAGTGATGCGTCCTAGGGCCATCCCTGGCTCTCCATGGATCTCTTCTGTCCTGGAAGTAGGAGCATGAGAGACAGACAGGAGCATTGTTTAGAGCACGGGGCTTTTCTTGTGGGTTAGGTGATGGGTGGGGGTTAAGCACCATGCACGGTTCCCAGCTATGCACCCATGACTTGCCTCTGCAGCTGATATGTCAATTCTGTGTTGATTTCCTACAAGAGCTCCCACCTCAACCCAGATGGCATCCATTCAAGAAGTACGAGGAACACTAATATCAGCATATGCCAAGCAAACTGGGAAATAACTGAGGGGCAGAAATGAGCTAGGATAGCGGGAGACTGGATGGAATGACTTCCCCATTTTTAAGGCTATGGGTTCATTAAGCCATCCAGCAGGTGTTTGCTGAGCCCCGACTCACTGGGGACATCAGCACGAGAGGAGCTGTCTTCCTCTGACACTCACAGTCAAGCCTGCAGAGCCTGTAGTAGCTCAGAGGCCTGAGGAAGCCTCTTCTCTCTTCTACAACTGCCGGAAGCCAGGGTGTCTTAGAATCATGTTACAGGGAGAGAGGCTCACTGTGCTGCAGTCTTGTATTTGTGTTCATTCCGTGTAGGACTGCGCCCACCAGACAGGTCCAATGTTCACTTTACTGGTGCATGTGGTAGGACATTGGAGGTCCCTAGCAACCACCCAAGAACAGGGTGGCTTACTGCCTTCCCCAGGTAGTCCAGTATGGAGAGGCTGTGAGGTTCAGAGGGAGGGGTTAGTTCAAAGACAGAGAAAGGCAAAGCCAAGTTCTCACTGTGACCTTGACCCCTGTGAACTGTGTTCTGCCTGTGCCATCCTGGGAAGAGCCCTGCAGGGGACTTTCCCATGGAGGGGGGTGGGATGCCACGGGGGAGGGGAGAACAAGGAGAAACAGGATGGAACCCAGGGCTTCATCCAGGCCAAGTGAGCACTTTCCCTGCCCCCATATGGGGTTTCTAAGTTAGATTGTATTTTATACTTCCAGTGCAGTTTAGTTTGAGATAACTATGTGTCAGGTGTCCATGGGGTGTCCATAGGCTAGGACACACAGAAGTACAGGCTTGACTGATACAGCTTGGTTGGAGGGGAAAAGGCCCAACAGATCCTAGTTGAAACAGAAATGTACATTAGGGCATGAGAGGATTCATCCCCGTGAGTACCCAGATGACCTGCATCCAGATAAGCTTTGTGCCGTCTCTTTAAGTACTTGTAGACCTAAGCACATCTGTTTCTCCACACCTGTACCCATGCATGTCTGTTACTTGAAGGGCTGGTGGCGATGATCCAGAAGCTACACTTGGACAGCCGAGGACCACCGCCCAGGATAGCCTGCCTATATCTGTCACCAGACGGGACTGGCTTATTCAAGAGAAACAGCAATTGCAGGTGAGCGGTATAGAATCTTCCAGAGAGAGAGTGGGCCATTTCTTACCCATGTAAGTCAGATGCGGTGAAGGGGCCTTTGCTTGGCTGCGGTGCAAGGACTCAAAGCAGAGGTGGTGGGACGGCCACTCCCTTGCACACGACAGGGTTGCAGTCGCACGGCATTATGGGAGTCAGGACTTTTGGCTCTGCTCTCTGTCTGTAGCAGCCGGTATGTCTGGGAATGCTTTGTGGGAATCCCTACCATGGTGGACTCTGGGAAACAACTGTTAAGGAACATGGTTTTAAGTCTAGCCCGGGTATGAGGCTGCATCTGTAATGACCAGCAGGTACATGAAGGTCATGCTTGGTTCATGGCAGTGGTGACATCTGGCCAAGAAGTGCCCAGGGTTAGAACTTTGAGTGAGGCTCCAAGGTGAGAGAGCAGAGGCAGGAAAGAGTTCTGGAAGTCTTGGAGTAGATCCGGGGCAGGGACTGAGAAGCAGCCAGGGGTCGGGGTGGGGGACTGCTGGAGCCTGGAGCCTGGAACAGGAACTGGGAGCCTGTGAAGCACCGGCCAACAGCACCAGGGATTCATGGGAAGAGCCTCAGTGGACAGAGTGGAAAAGCCATCAAATGTGATTCTTATTATCATCAACTGTGGGCCTCCGCATGCACACACACCCACATGAACCCACACGCCTGCACACATAGACAACACCACACACACATGAAAGTGAGAAAAAAATAACCAAAGAATAAGATGTTGGCTCATCATGGAAAACAATCTTGCAGTTCCCCAAACACTTAAAAATAGAGTTCTTAGCACTCAGTCACCAATCCCACTGTTGATACACACCTGAAAAGAAGGCAGGGGCCGGATGAGGCATCTAATCACTCTAATGGGTGACAGCCCGAGAGGCCATCACCGGATAGACAAACAGAATGTGTGTGGATGCAAAGGTCTGTCACTCAGCTTACTGAGAAAGAACGCTGCACCACAGATGTGCCCACATTCAAGCACACACACATATACACCACACACACACACACACACACATACACACACACACATACACACACACATACACACACACATACACACCACACACATACACACACACATACACACACACATACACACACACATACACACACACACACATACACACACACATACACACACATACACACACACATACACGCACACCACACACACACACACACACACACACACACACACGGGTACTCACAAATGCACTCGTAATTTGCACTAATTGACTGACCCAGAATCTACATTAATCCGTAACTATCATCTGTCTCCAGGCCAACGAATAAACAAGCAGCAGGTGATTGAACAGCGTGTGCTCAGTGCTGGGCAGATAGCCATCTCTCTGCGTAGGAGTCCGAACACAGCACCAGGCTCTGCTGAGGGACACGCCCCTGTTCCCTCGCTGTTCCTAGCTGATAAGAGCACAGCTTAATTCCCGATATCTCCCTATCTCCTGAATGTTCCCTCCACCCACGGAGCAGACTCTCCACAGCAACTACCTCCCGCACCCACCTGCAGTCCCAGAGAGAGATGAGCTTGAACACCCCCACCCTGAACTTCCTGCTAGCCCGCAGGCTCTGTGGACTCAACAAGGCCCTGCTGCTCTGTGTCTGCCCTTGAGATCCACATTACCCCCCCCACCCCCCATTTGTTTGTTTTGTTTTTTGTTTCACAGAGACAACCTTTCACTTAGTAGCCAGAGCTAGCCCAGGACTCATCTTGTAGCCCAGGCTTAAACCTACAGCAATGCAAAGGCATTGCCTCCCCATACTGGGAAGACAAGCTCAAGTTGTCCTAAACTATAGAAACTATAGAAGAGAGATTTAGCATCTCTGCCATTTTACACGCTCAATTCAGTAACATTAGGCACACACACAAACCATGCAAGCATCTTCACTATCCAATCACAAAACTCTCCCCAATAAACATTCATTCTCCGTCCCCTGCCACCCCCATCCTCATCCCCCCACCCACTCCTCACCCCACACTAATCTCCTTTCCTACTCTGGGAGTCTCTTCTAAGTAGAATATTACAGTATCAATCTTCCATGACATCCCTGCGGCATAACACAATGTCTTCCACATTCGCCTAACCCTGATGTGCCCTGTGCACATGTATGTGCAGGGCAGAAGAAGTTGATGTCGGACGCCTACCCCAATCTCCCTTTACCTCATTTTTCACACAGAGTCTCTCACTGAGTCTAGATTTCACTGACTGGGCTAGGCTGGCTGGCCAGTGAGTCATGCTGGGGTTACGGATTCGTTCTGTGGGACCCCAGCTTTTGCATGGGTTCTGGGAAATCAGAAGTAGCTCTGCATGCACGAACAGCAAACACTTGGCTGACAGAGTCACCTCACCAATCCTGGGAGCTAAACTGTCCGACATTCTAAAGGACACTAGACTCCACGGCCCGACTTGTGCTCTCAGTCCTGTTGCTGTGACAAGCCTCTCTGTGCATCCTAAATTCTCGTGGTTTGTGGACAGGGTTTTTTCCTCCTGGCTCACAGCTGGCGTCTAGATGTGGGGTGTGAGCTGCTAGCACCCTCTCTTGCTCGCCAGAAGGGAAGCCAGCGATACACAATTCACTGGGTTTTATCAAATCAAAACCTTGGCCCGCACCTGTCCATATTTAATGCTTGGGAGGAAGGCAATGTTTTTCTTCCTGCCAGCTCATCAAAAACATAAAGCTGGCGTGATTTTTTTCCAGTTCAGCAAACTTCTGGAATTTGCCTGCCTCAGAAGGGAGGGGCAGGTGGGCTTTGAGACTATGGTGCATACGGCCCCCTGTCATTTAGCTGCTCTCATTGTCAGCAGAACAGGGTTAATGGCTAAGATCTGTTCCCCCTCTCTCTGCAGAAGGAAATCGAAGCTCTCCAAGCAAGGATGTCTGTGCTGGAGGCAAAGGAACAGCAGCTGAACGAAGAGTTGGAGGAGCAGGAGACACTGCTCCAGTGGCAGGGCTGTGACCAGATGGCACTGGTGGCCCAGCTGTCCCCAGGCCAGCTGCAGGAGGTCAGCAGGGCCTTGGGAGAGACCCTGACCTCCGCCAGCCAGGCTTCCTTCCATGTGGAGCCGCCTGAAACCCTCAGGAGGTACTGAGTTTCCAACTTTCCCTCTTTCCACCAGGTTATTGAGATGACTTTGCTGTCCCTTGTCCATAGGTCCTTTTCAGGCAGTCTGTTTGATGAGTGGAAGGGGTGGAGGTATTTCGATGTTAGATTGCCTGCAGGGTTAGCCACGAGCACTGGGAGTTATTCGGTATTCGGTCCACTCAATCCCTAACTGTCAGCAATGTCTCCTCTCCAAGAGGCAGTTTCCACCATTCCAAGGGGCTGGCTTGTCTCTCCTTTCTTCTCTCCCTTCCTCCCTCTTTCCCTCTCTCCCTCTCTCTTACATTTGGGATTCAATTAGAGATAGTGACACTGGCTTTTGCTGAAGACAATCATCTGGAGAGAGACAGATTCCACTTCTATTCAAGGGATAAAGCATGGCATTGAAAGACTGTGTCCTGGGCTGTGGTGATGCTCAGCTATAGAGTGTTATCGCACACACATGAGGACCTGGGTTTGGACCCCCTAGAACCCATGTAGAAATCTGGGTGCAAGCCGGGCGGTGGTGGCGCACGCCTTTAATCCCAGCACTCGGGAGGCAGAGGCAGGCGGATTTCTGAGTTCGAGGCCAGCCTGGTCTACAGAGTGAGTTCCAGGACAGCCCGGGCTATACAGAGAAACCCTGTCTCGAAAAACCAAAAAAAAAAAAGAAATCTGGGTGCAGGGGTACATACCTTTAACCTCATTTCTGGGGCTGCAGACTCAGGAGGATCTCTGCAGTTTGCTGGCCAGCCAGCTTACAGCTTAGCTCCAGGTTCAGTGACCCTATGAGTGTGATTAAGGAAGATGCCTAATCTCTCTCTCTCTCTCTCTCTCTCTCTCTCTCTCTCTCTCTCTCTCTCTCTCTCTCTCGTGTGTGTGTGTATGTATGTATGTATGTATGTACATGTATGTACATGTGCACAAACAAAAAAAGATCCCCACAAACAAACCAGCAAAGGACAACTTAACCAGTGTCTTCATAGGCACTGGGGTGAACTGGATGAATGAGCAACCTTGTACTTACTGCTGGTTGTTGGTGACTAAACAATCACCATATGCCTGGTGCCTTCACTTTGTGGGTTGTATCTATTTGCCCGTCTGTTTTCCAGAAAGTGAATAGAAGAGTAGGAAAACTAATAATTAAAAGAGAAGTTTATAATTTGCCCGACGCCCTAATAGGAAAGGAAAACATGTTCAGGATTTTCAAACCTGCTGTCTCACCTATCACAAAGCGAGTCTTTCCTGTGTTTTACATTGGGGGAGGGGCTTGTGAAATACACATCTACTAGGTTGTTATTGATTGATTGACTGACTTTTTTTGAGATAGGGTTTCACCGTGTAGCTCAGGCTGGTCTGATCTTCAGAGGTTCAAACCTTGTTTTGGATACACAGGGAATACACTCTTACATATCAATGGAGGTCAGCTTCAGACTCGAGGTACTTTCTGACCTCAAGCAAGTGGGAGGGTCTTCCCATGGGTGGGTGAACCATGCCAGGACTTACCCAGAAACTTCCAAAGACAGGGTCATCCCAGTATGTTGCTTGGGGAACCTGTGCTGGCTTGAAGCTGACCAAGGCCTGATGGGCACCTAGTACTCTAAAAAAATATTCTCTGAGAAATTCATAATGCACAGGATGTATTTTGATCATAACTGCCTCTCACCTGTCCCCTCCAAGTCCTCCCGGGTCTCTCCCAGTATCCCCACAACACCTTATGTCCTTAAAAAAAACCCCCTCAAATCCCACTAAGTCCCCTAAGTTCTATCTGTATACATGTGGGTATGGGGTCATCGGCAGGCATGGGCAACCTAAGGGAGACTTCACCCATAAAGAAACCATCTCTCCTCTGGCACCATCAATTGCAGCAGCTCAAAGAAGACAACTTTTAAGCACCAGGAGGATCAGGATGTCCCAAGCCAGGAAGCTGACAGGATACAGAAACACAGAATCCACATAAAATGCCAGACTTGTTAAAAAGAAATGGCAACAAACAGTGTTGAGGCGGTAGAGAAGACAGAGCCCTCATTCACTGTCGGCGGAAGGGCGGGCTGGTGCGGCCACTGTGGAAATCAGTGTGGAGGATTCTCAAGAAACTAATTATGGAAAGACCAAACGACCTAGCAATAGTTCCTTCCAGGCATTGACCCAAGAGGCTGCTTCCTGCCCCAGGGATACACATCCACGGTCATTGTGGTTCTGTTGGGTAATGAGCCCGTGGCACAGCAATAATGGGCTTTTATTTGGCTGTAAAGAAAAATGAAACTTCAGAATGTATAGGAAAATGGAAGGAACTGGAAAACGGCATGGTTAAGTGATGCCCCAGAAAGACAAGTACTGCGTGTCCTCTCTTACAGGTGGATCTAGCATCTGATTTCCATATATGTGTATTTATGTGGGAGTGGGGTCATAGGCCAGGAAACTGGGAAGGGGCTTTAAGGAAGGGGTATGGAGAGGGCAAGAAAATGCATAAGACACAGGAAAGGTGATTTGTCTCTTAGGGTAGATTTGTTAAATGTAAGCAGCAGCATTGTGGCAGGGGCTCGGAGGAGAGTTTGGGCCCTTGTGGCAGCATGTGTCCACCTGCAGGTCTCAGAGGAAGGTGGGTCATCACACAGTCTACAGCTCAGACCTGCAGCCAGGCTGAGGCTAATTCCTGAGTGACGGGTTGGGGGGTGCGGGGAGGGGTTCTGCTTTCCAAGGAAAGGAATGTGTGAGCTGACTGAGAAGGTGAGGGGCAGGAGTTATAATTTAGTTAAGGTAACCATTACAGGCTGGGCACGCGCCACCTTTAGCTTTCTGGTATCTTGGAGTCTGGGAACCCAGCCCTGTAGACTTCCTTGAGGAAATGAAAATTAGAGTGCCTGTCCTTCTCCAGGAACCATGGCACTAGGGGTGGGGTTCTCTTATGGGGGTTGCAGATTTAAGGGCTCTTGGTAGGGGGCATGAAGAACAGTCATGAAAAAGGGGCTGTTGGACCTGAATGTTGCCTGTGCCCTAGACAGCTCTCTGCTCTTGGGGACTGGGGATGAGTTGCTGCAGAGTCAATGACACAGACTCCAAGAGCAGGCGAGAAACTGGCCGCAGCCAGTTGAAGACTGCTGCAAGCTCCTTTAGTACCCTCCACCTGCGCCCCATTGGTCCCAAGAAAGCGTCTCTTCTAAACAGCAGTTCCCGATTGGCTGGCATTATTTGCACTAGCAACCCTTAGTCTCTCAGGCAGTCCTCAGTTAGGTCCTCCTGCAGGAATGTTGGTGTCACAGGCAGTCCTCAATTAGGTCCTCCTGCAGGAGATGCTTTTGCAGCTGCACAGCCCTGCTGTTCCTACTATACCTGAACAGGCCCCAGCCCTGAGGGACTCCATGAAAGTGGAAAGGAAAACGTAGGGGAGGCAGGGTTCCAGCAGTGAGCATGGGGGTGGCAGTAACATGGAGACTCTTATACCACAATCGTTAGGGTCGGAGTTTGGGCCTTTGGCAGCCATAACAGACTAAGTAAGCCAAGACACCTGTTCTCAGTAGGGTAGTTACAGAGACAAGTAATCATGACAGCAGAGAAAGATTTATTTAGTATGACCCATTAAAGGAACAGTGAGGTCCAATGACCCCCAAGTTCACCGTGAGGGTCCTAACAGGAGGTTTTGTCTCATAGAGGGCACGAGTGAGTGTAGCTAAGCAGTGCTGGTCAAGTGTGGTTCCGCCCAGCACAGACCTTCCTCTTAGCTCCAGTCTGCCCTGCACAGTAGTTTAACAAGGTACCAGAACCATGTGACATCTCTCTAAGGGACAAGCTCCTTCTGGATGGCTCCGGCCTTCTCCTTCTTCCAGTGTGAGACTCCTGATAGCCAAAATCTGATGGCCAAAGGAAGGAACACACGTGCCTCTTTGGGAGGTCTTCATTCCTGCTGGCGTTTACAAGATGGGGGATCATGAGCAGATTGGGGTGGAGACGAACAAGCAAAGCTCATGTATGGGAATACCACACGCTAATTAAAAGTTAAATTCAAAAGAGAGTTAGGGTCTTGCCTGAAATCTCAACCCCTGGGCTCAAAAACACGTTCCAACTTATCTTAATTTTTTTAAAAAAATATTTAGTTTATTTTATCCATATGAATGTTTTACCTGTCTGTATCTGTGCACCACATACATGCCCAATGCCCACAGAGGTCAGAAGAGGGCACTGGGCACTGGGTCCTTGGAACTGAAGTTACAGGCAGTTGTGAGCCACCATGTGAATTCTGGGAACTGAGCTCAGGTCCTCTGCAAGAGCAGTCAGTGCCCTTAACCAGAGTCAACTGTCCAGCCTTGGCAGTTGTCTTTTGTCCCGCAAGACCTCCTTTGATGCAGGTGTCTGGAAGGAACCTGGAGCTGATTCCATCCCAAGCTGGCTCTGTTAACACTGTAGGTCATGGGGCTGGGGTGTGAAGGTGGAGCAGGCTGCTGATGAATGAGGAAGAGGGGGGACAGAGGAGCGAGGTGAGTTTCCACTGTTTCTCGAGGGCTGTATCTGTGCATGGGGGCGGGGGTGTCTGCCTCTTTGGCATATGAGGAAGAGGGGAGTGGTGATCCAAGCTCATTGCTCTCCAGTGCTGCCAGCTGTACCCCCCAACAACCCCCCCCCCCGGCTGTGCTTCATTCCAGGGGAGGGCAGCCCGGGACCTCGGATAGCATGCATCTGGCTCCCTGTACAGCCAGATGAGGGTAATTGTAGTAATAACAACAGCAGGCTGGTGTGAGGCTTTCTGGCACTCTTCAAGGATGTTTGGCTGCTTACGTTGGTCTGTGGTTGGGTCCTTCATCACTCGGCTCCTGGGACTTTTCATGCTTCGTGTGAAATGTGTTCTGGCAGCTCATGGATGACCCGTCTCTGGTTGTGCATTTGGAAGAAACATGTCGCATCTTTTTTTTTTTTTTTTTTTTTTAAAACAAACTGTTGGCATAAACTGTGAAACAGTCCAATCCTTGCTTATAGCAAATCTGGCTGGTTTTCGCTCGGAGAGTCTG